TGCGCCACTCTGATCTGTTGGACTTTGGTAATAATAAAAAGTATTTTAAGGGTCAGTAAATATAAGGTGCACAAATTTGTGGCAAATACACTTTTTCATCTTTTCATTTATAAAAACATTTCAATTTTTTTTTTGGAAAATATATTCCTCAAATTCATAATTATTAAATAAATTTCTAAAAATATTTAATTTTCTTCTCTTTTCTTACTCATCTTTTTCAGGCCCTTTTTCTTTTTCTTTTTTACTTTTTCTACTTTTTGATGATTTCTCCCACTCGAAAACTTATTCTTTACTCCACCCTTTTATTGTTTTTTCTTTAGTTCATACTACCCAATTTTTTTTTTTTTTTTTTTTTTTTTTTTTAGAGATAACAACGAGCATAATCGAAACGAATTTTACTAAATTTGAAATAATAAAGAGTAAATCCAAATCTATACCAAACTTTGAAAGTGGTGTTTTTTGTTTTATTTTTAAAAGATTTTGTCGGATTTATGAATTATTCAGACATATTTAATACTATTTGATTATATTTTATATTTATATTTATAAAAAATTAAAAATATATTTATCTATGCATAGTAATAATATATACTAATTATATTGATTAAATATTTATGGTAATTTTTTTAAAAAATATATATATATATATATTGAATCGATTTTGAGCTTTGGAATATTAAATATAAATTCGTCTCAATCTGTCAATCTTTTTTTTTTTTTTTTTTTTTTACGTTAACTCAAATTCGATGCGATTCGAATATATATTATAAAAAATAAAATAAAAATAAAAAACTCGAAATGTAGTTGAGTTCAATTTAAATAATCCATCACTTTCTTTTTATTCCTCAAAATCAGTCACCTCCCAACCCCACTAACTTTGCTTATACTTTGAATTTTGTATTGTTACTTTGAAAGATTTGGTCATGAATTATAATACTCTAAAAAATAATAATGTAATAAAAATTGCATTGAAATTCAAATTAAATTTAAACAAATGAAATGACATTTAGTTATTGTGTTATTGAAAAGTAATTGATATTTTTATTCACTAAATATTGACAATTATTTTTCATGACAATTTCCCCAATTTAATTAAATAAATTTTGTTATAATATTCCAAAAAAAAAAATTTATTATACACTATTCAAAGACATAGTAAAATTAGTGTTATAAAATTTTATTTAAAAATAGAGTTATTATATTGTAGCGCCCGGGAAATTGAAGAAAAAAAAAAAAAAAGGGAGGAGACACGTCAGCAGCCACGTAAGCAGACTCAGTCAGCAGTCTCGGCCAACCAGGACCTGCCACGTTGCAAGACACATCGATCCGGGACGGGCCACGTTGGCGATCCGCGTATGCGCGATCGGACAGCCCAGATCAAGCGTGCGATCGGACGGCCCAGATGGAATCGCACGGACGGCCCATATTCAATCAAAAACGGACGGCCCAGATTAAATCAAAATGGACGGCTGAGATCAAAAGGCAAAATGGTATAAATAAGACCCCCACACCAGACCACAAAACCCTAGCCGCCTGCCCTCGCCGGAGAAGACGAACCAGAAGCCGGCCGCCGCCACCCGCCGCTGCACCGGAGGGATTTCCGACCGCCGATCGAGGTAAATTTCATACCCCCGACTCGTTTTTCCATGCTGATTTCTCCTGTGGCCAAATCGGAGCTAAAATCCTAGCCAAACGGCCGGAAAACACGATCGAAATCCAGCGGCGCCGCCGCGCCCCTCCTCAGTTTTTGCCTCCGATGAGGCCCTTCCCGGCCTCCGTTTAATGCAATTTTTATATCACAGTGATCACCATTCTTTTCTCTACAGGTTGATCGGAGCCGAATCACCAAAACACGAACTTCACCGGAGAGCTGCTGCACCCGAGAGCACCGCTGCCGGTAAGCTTCGGTTTTCCGTAATTTTTTGGCCCCCCGAGGGCCCTAGAGTTATTTAATCGCAAGGATCGATGCAAGTGTGGCCGAATTCGACCGAAAACGGACGAAAACGGCCAAACCGAGGCGAATCGCCGCCGTGCCGGAATGCGATAT